TACCAGCAGGCGACGGTAGTGTGTATTCGTCATTCAAAAGAGGCAACAACCGGAAGACAGAGAAGAAGAACAGACTGTGCGATATAAACAAACAACAAATAGCGTGTGCGTTCCATTTTCACTCTCGTCCATCGAAAACATGTTTCGTGCGGTACTGGAGCTATCAGCCATTGGAGTGTTGCTTGTGGAAGACATTCTCAAGCAACCGTTTCGCTTCTCATGCACTGATTCGCGAGCTGAACAGCCAATCAGAGTGATTTATTTGTCCGACTGCCTGTGGCAGACGCACGGCCGATTCAACATGTTGAATCGGCCGTGCGTCGGCCATGAAAGGCCAAATAAGGCGTGTCACGGCCGACGGTGCGGGACACACCAAATTGAGTTTGGGCGACAGGGCACGCTTCGTCGTCCGACTAATGAAAACGGTTGATTTCGGCCTGGTGTGTCAGGGCCTTTAAGCGCACTCTTAAAAACGGATAGGGTGTCTGCCGCCCGAACACAAACTGGAAGCTGATTCCACAAAAGTGGAGCTCGATAAGAAAAAAGGCTCTGGCTCCCATTGTACTTTTAAAAACTCTAGGAACAACCAACAACCCTGCATTCTTGGAACGCAATGCCCTAGTAGGACAGTAGGGTATAATGAGTTCTTTAAGGTAAGATGGCGCCTGCCCATTAAGGGCTTTGTAGGCGAGAAGAATAATTTAAAATTCTATCCTGTGTTCTATAGGGAGCCAGTGTAAGGCAGCCAGAACAGGAGTAATGTGGTCCCTTTTCCGAACTCTGGTTAGTACACGTGCTGCAGCATTTTTTAATCAGCTGAAGCGACTTAACTGACTTCTTGGTACACCCTGATAATAAAGAGTTACAATAGTCCAGCCTTGAAGTAACAAATGCATGGACTAGTTTCTCTGCATCGTTTTGAGGCAAGATATGCCTGATTTTTGCTATGTTACGATGAAAAAAGGCGGTCCTTGAGATTGATTTTATGTGGACGTTAAAGGATAAATCCTGATCAAATATAACACCAAGATTCCTTACAGTCTCACTGGAGGCCAAATTAATGCCATCCATAGTTAATATATCTTTAGATAGTTTGTTTCGTAGAGTCTTTGGGCCGAGTACAATAACTTTTTTGTTTTGGCCGTGTTTAACATCAAAAAGTTTAAGGTCATCCACGTTTTTAAGTCCTTGAGGCAGTCTTGAATTTTATTTAGATGATTGGTTTCATCAGGCTTGATGGATAAATATGTGATTCCTTATAATATTGCCTAAGGGAAGCATACATAATGTGAACAAAATAGGTCCAAGCACTGAGCCCTGTGGCACTCCATGGCTAACTTTGGTTTGCATGGAAGATTCATCGTTGACACACACAAACTGTGGCCAATTGTTTTCATTGCATTTACAGACCCTTGTAACTCTCAGACTCTGATTGTAGAACCACGCAAAAAAAAGCAGATAGCAACACCGATACAAACTGACAACAAATCTTTGCTGAGCCTAAAAATAATCATAAATAATGAAAATAAATATATTGCAATGCTCAAAACAGCAGCATCCAACAGTCTCTAATCCTTGGATATTACATGTCATTGCATACATGCACGGAGCCCCCGTAGCGCGGAGATCATCATATCATTCTGTCTTGTATGTATTACTTAACATTAAAAAAACAGTTCGTTCGTGGGCGCGAGCCGGCTCCCGTCGTTCACTTAAAAGAGCCGGCTCGTTCGCGACCGACACATCACTATCTACAACTCTCCCAAGGACCATTTGCGTGTTTATTTGTTATACTTACACTTATTTATAGTTACATTTCCTTGATAGTTCTCTCTCTGTTTTTACAAGCATTGTCCCTTATGTTTTTGTAAAAAATGTGGGCCTAGGCTGCAGTTACTTTACTAGTATTAGTTAACTGATCCTCCTGGATGAGTGTGTGTGGTTTATATCATTAATCATATCAGTGACCTCCCGAGCAGCTAGTAAAAACTGCTGCAACAGACAACTGGTAGCTTGTTTGTGTTTACATGCAGGTCACACTCAGTTGCTGACCTTTCATTTTATATATCTTAGACTACAGTGAAAATATTGCGTTGTACAGGGGAGTACTACAACATGGGTGTGTTTGTGTCAGACTGTCTTCCTTATCACTTAAACGTATTCCTCAACTCCCCCAGCTTCTACAGAATTGTGGTTGCACAACACTTCCTCTTCACTCCCGTCTGCAAAACATGCTGATTCTTATACTCTTCAGTGCAATAATGTCCGACTCTTCTAACTTTTCCGTTGACTTTACTCATGCGATATCAGAGAAAAGGGGAGATAAAGATCTCTTATCTGGAACCATTGCTTCCTGCAAGAGCAGAATACATTCTGTCTAGATTTTTGTATTTCGCCCCTCCTGCAATGTAAGGAATGGCCTAAAAAATTATATGTAAGTCTGGCTATCAAGAAGCAGGTTGAAGGGAAACATTTAGCAGTGGCAGAGAAAATGAGGTGCTGATGCAGGAGAGTAGTTTGACAGCTGATCTGCCAGCTTTAAAAGAGAACTGCCACGTACTCTCAGCATGAAAGAGGAAACATTAACTGATTAGCAATAAACAGCTAATGCTGATGGCTGATGATTTTGCAGGTTTTAAGTCATAGTCCAGGCTATTTTACTTAGGATATCATAGACAGATATCATAAGTTCGAGGAACTATCACAATTATCTGTTGACCTTTTGAGCAACTGAAAATATTGTAGGCAGTGTGTTTTTTGAAAATAAACAGGGCAATATGTCAATGACTTTATTATGGTTTCTGAGCATTTTTAGATCTGTACCTAAATTCATGTTTCTATTAGGGGGTAAATGTCTAGGTCTTTTTCTGTAAATTAACATAAAAAATGTATTGGAACATCCAAACAAAATCTGCTGTCTCTAATGTGTGTTCTCAGGAAACAGGTTGAAGGGTTGTTAAAATAAAACAGAAACATGTAACCTACTGATTAAAAGGTTTTTTTTTATTAAAAAGCTTAGATTTTTACACGGGTAAATGCAAGAGCAAACTTCAAAAATAAACATAAGATTGAAATATGGACAAAATCATACCAAATATACTATCAAGCAGCTTTTGGCTGCATTTGAAAGGACAATGATTTGGCCCACTGCATTCATTATTGTGGAGTAGAACACTAAAGACTACATGGAAACATACCATAACATTATACGGTCATGGTTGAATGTATTCAATGTTCTCTTCACTATCAAATCTCTATGGGAAATGGAGACTTGTAGGAGAAAACATATATTGCCAGAGTTGACTAATAACAGTTGTCCATGGGGTATTTCTGCATAACCATAGCCACAAACTATAAATCCATCTCAACTTTTGATACGTTTGTAAGGCCAGTAAAGCAGAAGTAAGGAGGGGGTGGTGAGCAATTTTTGTGGTGGGAGGATGGGCGTGATGTTTTATTCTTATTTTTTTCTGAGCTCAGCAAGCCTACATTTACTTTTTTGTATGTTTGCCATCATTAGCAAATACGTAACAAGAGCTTCTATTTAAATGGGCATTGACCACAACTGTACAAAGAAAATGTCAACAGCTTGAGAACAGTGACCATTTTTTTTTTTTTAAATAAATACAAATGTTTTAAAATAATTGTCTGGCACTGAGAAACAAAAGGCTTTGCCATTCCTAAACCTTGTTTTGCGTACTTTTTGTAGACTCATTGCTTCTGCTGTGTAGACTGACAGAAACATGCCTCTTTAACCCAGGAAAACGTTTCGCCAGCAGCTGTTTGAAATGGTTCTTTCCACAGATTATGTCACTGATGATAAACCACCCACACATGCTACTTCAGCAGAATATTAATCATGTATTGACATAACCCTTATTACACCCATCATGACATTATGCAACATACAGTGGAGGAAATAAGTATTTGATCCTTAGCAGATGTTGTAAGTTTGCCCACTTAAAAATAAATTAGCAGTCTATACTTGTAATGGTAGGTTTATTTTAACAGTGAGAGTAAGAATATCAAAAAGAAAATCCAGAAATTGACATTATATAAAAGATAAACATTTATTTGCATTTAACTGTGGGAAATAAATATTTGATCCCCTTGCAAAACATGTGTTAGTACTTGGTGGAGAAACCCTTGTTGGACAGCACAGAGGTCAGACGCTTCTTGTAGTTGGTCACCAGGTTTGTGCACATCTCAGGAAGGATTTTGGTCCACTCCTCTCTGAAGATCCTCTCCAAATCCTGAAGGTTTTGAGGCTGATGCTTGGCGTCTCGAAGCTTCAGCTCCCTCCACAGATTTTCTATGGGATTAAGGTCTGGAGACTGGCTAGGCTACTCCATCACCTACATTTGCTTTTTCTTTAGCCACTCCTGTGTTGCCTTGGCCGTATGTTAAGGGTCATTGTCCTGATGGAAGACCCATCCATGACCCATTTTCAGTGTCCTGGCTGAGGGAAGGAGGTTATCAACCAAGATGTTACGGTACATGGCCCCGTACATCCTCTCCTTGATGCAGGAAAGTTGTCCTGTGCCCTTAGCAGAGAAACACCTCCAAAGCATAATGTATCCACCTCCATGCTTGACGGTGGGGATGGTGTTCTTGGGGTTATAGTCAGCATTTCTCTTTCTCCAAACACGGCATGTCGAGTTAATAGAAGATAAAAATAAACATAAGATTGAAATATGGACATAATCATTACAAATATACTACCAGGCAGCTTTTGACTTGAACACTAAAGACTACATGGAAACATACCATTACATTATATGGTCATTGTTGAATGTATTCAATGTTCTCTTCACTATCAATAATCTGTACGGGAAATGGAGACTTGTAGGAGAAAACAGAAATTGACCAAGTTGACCAATAACAGTTGTCCACGGGGTATTTCTGCATAGCCATAGCCACAATGTGTATTTATTTACATTTTAGATGATAAAATCATCTAAGGTATTACAGAACTATAAATCCATTTCAACTTTTGGTGAGACATTGTTGTTGTGGGAGAATGGGTGTGATGTTTTCTTTTCTTTTTTTTTCTGTAGCTCAACTAAGCTACATTGACCTTTTTTGTATTTTTGCCATCATTAGTAAATACATAGGAAACAAGAGCTTCTTAAACGGGCCATTGACCACAACTGTACAAATCCATTTCATCGGTTTGAGAACAGTGAATATAGTACAATTGATAACCAAAATACAAATATAGATCAATAACAGTAAATGTTTTAAAAATAATTTGCTGGTCCTGAGAAACAAAAGGTTTTGCCATTCCTGAACCTCGTTTCGCGTACTTTTTGTAGACACATTGCTTCTGCTGTGTAGACTGACAGAAACATGCCTCTTTAACCCAGGAAAACGTTTCACCAGCAGCTGTTTGAAATGGTTCTGAAACTTTTTCCCAACAAATGTGTAAAAGATAGGACTGATGCAAAAGTAAAAGTAGGCAATGGTACGTGTGATTTCAAGATAACTATGTATAATATCCGTGGTCTCATCGTCGGCTTGATCATACATCAACCATACAATGTTGTATGGAGTCCAGCAAGAAAAGAAAAACAGGACAATGAAAAATATCAACCTGACAGTTTTGAACTTGGTAATTATCTTGGTCGAAATGACGGAGATAGCAATCCTAACGTAGCAATAGATAATAACAGACAGAGGAAAGATCAAGAAAAGCAAAAGCTGGATGTAAAATCCAGATGTTCTCAACATCTCCATATTAAGAGAATCTACATCCAAAGGGAACTGCTGACAGAGAGTTGTGTTCATATATTTGAAAGTTTTGTAGAGAATCATCGGCCTGATGCACGCCAAACTGCTGATCACCCAAATTGCAGCACATGAGATGATGGCATATCTTTGATTCCTCACTCGTGCCGCGTTCAGGGAATACACAACTGCAAGGTGTCGGTCAAAGGTCAAAAGAGTAAGAAAGAAGACTGAACTGTAGAAGCCCAGATAGTAGACGCTACCAACAATCCTGCACATGACATCCCCGAAGATCCATTCGGAGAGCTGGTTGTAGAGGGCCTCGAAGGGAAGGCTGCTCATGAAGATCAGGGAGGACACCACCATGTTCAGAAGCAAGATGTTGGTCACTGTGGTCAGGTTCTCAAACCTAGCAGATAGTCATTTCAACAGATGGAGAGAAAAAAAAAATGTTTATTGGTCACACAAGCATTGTTGACACTGATGGTCCACACTGATGTTTTTATGCCACAGTTACAAAAAACCAACACACTGCTCACTCAATCTTCATTTGGGCTAAATTAGCTTTTGCAGGGTAAGATCTAACTTGAAGGGTATTATAAGTGTGGATTATCATTATTTCCCGATAGAACATTGTAAACACTGTACATTTAAGATCTGAAATGGAAGCCAGGCTTCAGTGGATTTTGACCAAAGAATAACAATGGTGTTGATGGAATATAATGTTAATCTTGCCTATACTTGAAAAGATTTGAGAGTTCACCCTGTCAGCATGCATCTGACTTAGCCCTCTTTAACTCTTTATGGTATTCTGCATGATAGACACATATTTCAATGTTTCCATAACGATCAGAAATATTTGTTTCTTTTAAAATGTCTCTTTAAATTCTGGCTGATAAATTTGACAGAATTGATGATTCTGTATACTGTTTAAATGTTATTTTACACGGCATTTTTTTCAATCCTTTTAATAACAAGTGAGGGTAGTCAAAATATATTTCTGAAATAGAGCCTTTACAAAAAAAAGTATATAGAATGCAACACAAAATAAATTAAAAATGCAGAATATATAAACAAAAAAAGCCCAATGCAGCACGCACAAAAATTCAGGATGCAGGCAAAGTATTATTTTTAAGTGAATTAAATATAGTTTAAATATCATTTTGTTCTTAAGATTTTCATGAAACCTAATGCCACTTTTTGTACGGTCTGCATTTTTTTCACAAATAACTATTCATTGTATTTACATTCTGCCTCCAAATACAATATTAACAGAAAACAATGCAGCATATAATCCAATGTTAATATCATAAATTGTGTCTCTATGCTTAATTTTTAAGAAGGCAAATCACTCAATTAATTAAACTATTAAACAACTTCTAACTGCTTAAAAAAGCAAAGCCAATCCACCATCTTTTTGTGACGAAACATTTGACAAATATATTCTCAGGGTTTCATTTAGGCTCCCAAGAGTTTTTGTTGGTCCACTCACTGATAGATGATGACCAGGACCAGCCCATTTCCAAAGAGACTGAAAAGGAACATGAAGTAGTAGAGGATAGAGAGCTGAGACCCCAGAGAGTCGATAGTGCTCATGGGTTCTGGGGACGGTAAGGAACCGTAATCATAATCATAGGTTGTAGTTTCCATTTGTGTCTCAGGTGTTGACGTGAACATCTGCAAGAAAACAAAGTACTGCAGAAATCAAATACAAACTCATCACGTATGTTTAAAAGTTGCAATATCTTTCAGTATTGTGCTGTTCTCAAAATTGCATAATGATGTACTGCACACTACATGCTACTGCAAATTGCCTATGTTATACAGTATATAACTGTGAGCACCTCAGCTCACAAACAGTTCAAAAAGGGACGGAAGGAGAAGGATGGGGGGAAATATCAAAAGTTTATTGTCCACAAATGAAAAATGTAGAACTCAAAAAGAACAGGGAAGCCAGGCGGTGCTTTCTTAATCCCGTCCTGTGTCCAAGGTGTCCTCCCAGGACCCAGCCTACTGCAAGACAGACCAGGTTTCCAACATGCTTTTATTGAGTGACTGATTACCTGATTCTGATCAGCTGTCTGGTCTCCGGCCGAGCCACCCCCATCAGTCCAGCAGCCGGCGCTCTAACCACACCCCGCTGCCACATACCCCCACCGCCCGACTCAGGCCGGGATCCCGCCGGCCGAAAGCTGACTCCCCCCCCTCCGCCAAGCGAGAGAGGAAATCAGCCACGACCATCCAGTTACCCGGCCTGTGGATCACCTTGAAGTTGAAAGGCTGTAACGCCAGATACCACCGAGTGATTCGGGCGTTGGCATTCTTCATGCGGTGGAGCCACTGCCGACAGGAAGTGTTACAAATTGGTACAAACCATACGGAGTGGAGAAGGCCGTCCATGCTTTAAGGAGGTTCAGGTGGTAAATCTGTGTTGCTCCCCCCCTTTCGGAACGCACCACCTAATCTACGTCCCCCAATCGCCGTGTGACCACGAAGGGCCCTTGCCACTTGGCGAGTAATTTCGAGCTAGAGGATGGGAGTAACACAAGCACTTTATTTCCCGGTGAAAATTGTCTCAGTCTCGACCCTCTGTTGTACAGGCGCTGCTGACGTTCCTGAGCCTGGAGCAAATTCCCACGTGGTAACTTCCCCAGTGAGTTTTGCTCGCAGGTCCATAACGTATTGGATTTCATTTTTACTTGTGCTCGGACCCTCTTTAACTAGGTCCAAAACACCCCGTGGCTTTCTGCCAAACAGCAGTTAAAAGGGAGAAAATCCCATGGAGGAATGGGACACCTCCCGCACTGCAAACAACAGAGGGTCTAACCATTTATCCCAATTCGGACTATCTTCGTGAACGAATTTACGAACCATGGTCTTTATCATTTTGTTAAAGCGCTCCACCAGGCTGTCGGTCTGAGGATGGTCAACGCTAGTCCGGATTGAGTAGGCCCAAGAGTTCATACAGCTCGCGTAGTTGACATAACTAGTTGACATCGCGATGTGCCCTTGATCTCTTTCGGGATCCCGACTCGGGAGATTATATGAAACAGTGCCTGTGCAACGCTCTTTGCAGAGATATCACGCAGCGGCACTGCCTCGGGATATCGGGCTGCATAATCCACTAGGACTAGTACAAAGCGATATCCCCATACACTCCGGTCTAATGGCCCGATGAAGTCCATACCAACTCTCTGAAAAGGCACCTCGATTAAAAAAATAAAAATAAAAATAAATCTTTTTATTTTTTTATTTATTTACATACAATCTTGAGTTTTTCAAAATGAAGAGGAATACATTTTTTTCCCACAGATGATGTCACTGATGATAAACCACCAACACATGCTTTTTCAGCAGAATATTAATCATTTATTGACAAAACCCATATTACACCCATGCATGTTGCAGTGTTTCCTGGGTATTTGGTTAGCTTGGTCAGCTTTTTCCCCTGCAGGATGATTATAAGTTGTCATATCCTCTCCACATCTACATTATATGTTTCAGTACAGATCTTTTGTGTAATGGTAGTATATTACAGTACGTCACTTTTTCACTGGCTCACATCAAGGGTGTGGCCTTTGTTTCCTACACACAAATGTGGTTTAAAACCTTTAATCCCTTATAAGAAATGTTATAAACGCTTTATTCTTCCCTAAATAAATTATAATTGGATGCTCAGAGGAAACAATCACTTCATAGGGAGGCCTTAACATTTCTTGTTTTATCCACCCAACACTAGTTCTTGTTATTGGGATATCTTTGGCTTTTTTTCCTGGTATCTATATTTGACTGATATAAAGCAGAGTAAAACAGCAAATGGTTTCATTTGAATAGCTGAAACCAAAAGATGTTGATAAATAAAATGAGTAATCAGTTACAAAAATAGTTATATCTCTCACAGGCTCCGCCCTCTACTGGACTCTATGGGTACTACCTTATCCTGCGTGCATTCTCCCACTGAGACTTCTATAGACGTAGCCGGGCTAGGGCGGGCCTACCTGAATGCGCGCGCATCACACTGTATAAAAGGAGGCCTCGCCTCCTGACTATCATCCTTTTTCTCTTCAGCAGCGGAAGTGATTCCACGAGCTTCGAGACGTTAGGAAAAAGAAAGTAAAAGTGAGAGCATGGAGTCAGTACTTGACCTCAGGACCTGCCCAAAATGCCCGAATCTTATCGCAGGGGCTGATCCGCACCCCTTCTGCTTCACGTGTTTGGGGCCTGACCACGAGGTGGGTAATATGGGCCCGACGCCGGCATGCCCAGCCTGCCAGATGATCCCGCGGCTCACACGGGAGCATCGTGGGCAGCACTCCCTGGCGAGGGCTACCCCGCAGGCGGAGTCGGAGGATCGGGAGCTCGACGTCGTGGACGTGGGCGATTCGGGGAAAGAGGAGACGTCGTTCCGGTTCTCTCTTCCATGGGACCAGGCGGGCTCGGTTCCGATGGAGGACGAGGAGGACGCCTCGCTGACCGGAGGTCCAACTCTCAGGTCTGCGCGGATGTATTTCCCGGCGGTGATGACTCTGGCGGCGGAGCATGTAGGCTTACCGCTCCCCCCACCGCTGCCACCGAGGCCTGTAAACCGCCTGAGATCGGGGTTTTACGGCCCGGTGAGTCCGGCGCAGCCAACATTCGTTTCGTCCCAGCTGCCAGAGGTATGGCGGTGTGTGGAGGCGACATGGCAGCAGCCATTAAAAACGAAGGCCCCGATAGCCGCCATGGCGGGTATCATTAAGCTGGTGGATCGCTCGGACACGACATGTCCAGGTGTGCCCCCCCTCGATGAGAGCCTGGTGGCCCATCTGCTTCCGCGGGTGGCTGGTTGGGCGGAGGGTAAACGTCCTCTGCCCCCGCTGCCCCGGGACCGAGATACCTTGGAATATCTGGATAAGATGTTCAAGCTCAGTACGCAGATAGCGGCTGCGGCCAATAATCTTGGCGTGTTGGGCGTCTCCCTGATCACCCCTCAGGCAGATGCCCCCGCCCTCCCGTCTCAGGACGAGAGCGATTATTCGGACCGCGCTGTCGGTCAGATGAATAATCTGATTAATGGTGTGGCCACCGCAGCAGGGCGGATGATTTCCCTGGCCACAGTGGCATCTCGGTGAGGGGGAGATTCTCTCTACCGGGGACGCAAGGGCGAATCCCGCCTCCTCCCTATTTAATGCCCAGATCCCTGTCAAAACTTTAAAAAATAAAGATGGTGTTGATCTGTATCCAAGTCTGAGTGTCCTTTGTTTCCACAATACACTTGCACATGTTGATGACTGTACAAATTCCCCACTCGCCGCCCCAGCTATAGCTCCCGTTAGGGAGGAGGCTAGTGGGAGTGCGCAGATGAGAGTGATAAACCGCAGGCAGCACTGTTATAGTGCGGTGCGGGTACAGGGACATTATGGCCGACGTTTTTCTGTTAGAAAACACTCTATGCCTGAGGCTAAGACTCCAAATAATGCTGTTTACCATAGTGATAGGGGCTGCATTATAGCAACGCCCGCACTTGTAAAAAGGCGCGTGGCGGTGCGTTCAGGGGCCTTAGTAAAACACACTACGCCTGTAAAAGCTCCGGTTAATGCTGTTTTCCATAGTGATGAAAATAGCATTATTATGATGGAGCGTGCGCTCACACATGAGCGTGCGGCGGTGCGTTCAGGGTCCTCAATAGATAATCGGCCCTTTCTGTTTCGACCCCCCACGGGCAAATCTTCCCTTTACGGGGAGTTTTGCGGCGGAGCGGGTCATCAGAGAGTATCACAGCTTTATAGCTGCGGCCCCACAGCTGAGGGCTTGCTCATTAACACAATGTTATGGGGAATGGAAACTCAGCTGTGTACTGACAAGGTGGATGGACAGGACGCTGAAACGGGGTTATCTACTCCAGATTTGCAGCGTCCCACCTCCTTTTATGGGCATGCGAGAGGTAAATCTGTCTTCCCAGGAGGAGATGGTTTTCCTCTCAGTAGAGAATATAATCAAAAATAAACATAAGATATATGGACAAAATCATACCAAATATACTATCAAGCAGCTTTTGGCTACATTTGAAAGGACAATGATTTGGCCCACTGCATTCATAATTGTGGAGTAGAACACTAAAGACTACATGGAAACATACCATAACATTATACGGTCATGGTTGAATGTATTCAATGTTCTCTTCACTATCAAATCTCTATGGGAAATGGAGACTTGTAGGAGAAAACATATATTGCCAGAGTTGACTAATAACAGTTGTCCATGGGGTATTTCTGCATAACCATAGCCACAAACTATAAATCCATCTCAACTTTTGATACGTTTGTAAGGCCAGTAAAGCAGAAGTAAGGAGGGGGTGGTGAGCAATTTTTGTGGTGGGAGGATGGGCGTGATGTTTTATTCTTATTTTTTTCTGAGCTCAGCAAGCCTACATTTACTTTTTTGTATGTTTGCCATCATTAGCAAATACGTAACAAGAGCTTCTATTTAAATGGGCATTGACCACAACTGTACAAAGAAAATGTCAACAGCTTGAGAACAGTGACCATTTTTTTTTTTTTTAAATAAATACAAATGTTTTAAAATAATTGTCTGGTCCTGAGAAACAAAAGGCTTTGCCATTCCTAAACCTTGTTTTGCGTACTTTTTGTAGACTCATTGCTTCTGCTGTGTAGACTGACAGAAACATGCCTCTTTAACCCAGGAAAACGTTTCGCCAGCAGCTGTTTGAAATGGTTCTTTCCACAGATTATGTCACTGATGATAAACCACCCACACATGCTACTTCAGCAGAATATTAATCATGTATTGACATAACCCTTATTACACCCATCATGACATTATGCAACATACAGTGGAGGAAATAAGTATTTGATCCTTAGCAGATGTTGTAAGTTTGCCCACTTAAAAATAAATTAGCAGTCTATACTTGTAATGGTAGGTTTATTTTAACAGTGAGAGTAAGAATATCAAAAAGAAAATCCAGAAATTGACATTATATAAAAGATAAACATTTATTTGCATTTAACTGTGGGAAATAAATATTTGATCCCCTTGCAAAACATGTGTTAGTACTTGGTGGAGAAACCCTTGTTGGACAGCACAGAGGTCAGACGCTTCTTGTAGTTGGTCACCAGGTTTGTGCACATCTCAGGAAGGATTTTGGTCCACTCCTCTCTGAAGATCCTCTCCAAATCCTGAAGGTTTTGAGGCTGATGCTTGGCGTCTCGAAGCTTCAGCTCCCTCCACAGATTTTCTATGGGATTAAGGTCTGAAGACTGGCTAGGCTACTCCATCACCTAAATTTGCTTTTTCTTTAGCCACTCCTGTGTTGCCTTGGCCGTATGTTAAGGGTCATTGTCCTGATGGAAGACCCATCCATGACCCATTTTCAGTGTCCTGGCTGAGGGAAGGAGGTTATCAACCAAGATGTTATGGTACATGGCCCCGTACATCCTCTCCTTGATGCAGGAAAGTTGTCCTGTGCCCTTAGCAGAGAAACACCTCCAAAGCATAATGTATCCACCTCCATGCTTGACGGTGGGGATGGTGTTCTTGGGGTTATAGTCAGCATTTCTCTTCCTCCAAACACGGCATGTCGAGTTAATTGAAGATAAAAATAAACATAAGATTGAAATATGGACATAATCATTACAAATATACTACCAGGCAGCTTTTGACTTGAACACTAAAGACTACATGGAAACATACCATTACATTATATGGTCATTGTTGAATGTATTCAATGTTCTCTTCACTATCAATAATCTGTACGGGAAATGGAGACTTGTAGGAGAAAACAGAAATTGACCAAGTTGACCAATAACAGTTGTCCACGGGGTATTTCTGCATAGCCATAGCCACAATGTGTATTTATTTACATTTTAGATGATAAAATCATCTAAGGTATTACAGAACTATAAATCCATTTCAACTTTTGATAAATTTGTAGGGCCAGTAAAGCAGAAGTAAGGAGGGGTGGTGAGACATTGTTGTTGTGGGAGGATGGGTGTGATGTTTTCTTTTCTTTTTTTTTCTGTAGCTCAACTAAGCTACATTGACCTTTTTTGTATTTTTGCCATCATTACATACATAGGAAAACCAGAGCTTCTTAAACGGGCCATTGACCACAACTGTACAAATCCATTTCAACGGTTTGAGAACAGTGAATATAGTACAATTGATAACCAAAATACAAATATAGATCAATAACAGTAAATGTTTTAAAAATAATTTGCTGGTCCTTAGAAACAAAAGGTTTTGCCATTCCTAAACCTCGTTTCGCGTACTTTTTGTAGACACATTGCTTCTGCTGTGTAGACTGACAGAAACATGCCTCTTTAACCCAGGAAAACGTTTCACCAGCAGCTGTTTGAAATGGTTCTGAAACTTTTTCCCAACAAATGTGTAAAAGATAGGACTGATGCAAAAGTAAAAGTAGGCAATGGTACGTGTGATTTCAAGATAACTATGTATGATATCCGCGGTCTCATCGTCGGCTTGATCATACATCAACCATACAATGTTGTATGGAGTCCAGCAAGAAAAGAAAAACAGGACAATGAAAAATATCAACCTGACAGTTTTGAACTTGGTAATTATCTTGGTCGAAATGACGGAGATAGCAATCCTAACGTAGCAATAGATAATAACAGACAGAGGAAAGATCAAGAAAAGCAAAAGCTGGATGTAAAATCCAGATGTTCTCAACATCTCCATATTAAGAGAATCTACATCCAAAGGGAACTGCTGACAGAGAGTTGTGTTCATATATTTGAAAGTTTTGTAGAGAATCATCGGCCTGATGCACGCCAAACTGCTGATCACCCAAATTGCAGCACATGAGATGACGGCATATCTTTGATTCCTCACTCGTGCCGCGTTCAGGGAATACACAACTGCAAGGTGTCGGTCAAAGGTCAAAAGAGTAAGAAAGAAGACCGAACTGTAGAAGCCCAGATAGTAGACGCTACCAACAATCCTGCACATGACATCCCCGAAGATCCATTCGGAGAGCTGGTTGTAGAGGGCCTCGAAGGGAAGGCTGCTCATGAAGATCAGGGAGGACACCACCATGTTCAGAAGCAAGATGTTGGTCACTGTGGTCAGCTTCTCAAACCTAGCAGATAGTCATTTCAACAGATGGAGAGAAAAAAAAAATGTTTATTGGTCACACAAGCATTGTTGACACTGATGGTCCACACTGATGTTTTTATGCCAGTTACAAAAAACCAACACACTGCTCACTCAATCTTCATTTGGGCTAAATTAGCTTTTGCAGGGTAAGATCTAACTTGAAGGGTATTATAAGTGTGGATTATCATTATTTCCCGATAGGACATTGTAAACACTGTAAATTTAAGATCTGAAATGGAAGCCAGGCTTCAGTGGATTTTGACCAAAGAATAACAATGGTGTTGATGGAATATAATGTTAATCTTGCCTATACTTGAAAAGATTTGAGAGTTCACCCTGTCAGCATGCATCTGACTTAGCCCTCTTTAACTCTTTATGGTATTCTGCATGATAGACACATATTTCAATGTTTCCATGACCATCAGAAATATTTGTTTCTTTTAAAATGTCTCTTTAAATTCTGGCTGATAAAGTTGACAGAATTGATGATTCTGTATACTGTTTAAATGTTATTTTACACGGCATTTTTTTCAATCTTTTTAATAACAAGTGAGGGTAGTCAAAATATATTTCTGAAATAGAGCCTTTACAAAAAAAAGTATATAGAATGCAACACAAAATAAATTAAAAATGCAGAATATATAAACAAAAAAAGCCCAATGCAGCACGCACAAAAATTCAGGATGCAGGCAAAGTATTATTTTTAAGTGAATTAAATATAGTTTAAATATCATTTTGTTCTTAAGATTTTCATGAAACCTAATGCCACTTTTTGTACGGTCTGCATTTTTTTCACAAATAACTATTCATTGTATTTACATTCTGCCTCCAAATACAATATTAACAGAAAACAATGCAGCATATAATCCAATGTTAATATCATAAATTGTGTCTCTATGCTTAATTTTTAAGAAGGCAAATCACTCAATTAATTAAACTATTAAACAACTTCTAACTGCTTAAAAAAGCAAAGCCAATCCACCATCTTTTTGTGACGAAACATTTGACAAATATATTCTCAGGGTTTCATTTAGGCTCCCAAGAGTTTTTGTTGGTCCACTCACTGATAGATGATGACCAGGACCAGCCCATTTCCAAAGAGACTGAAAAGGAACATGAAGTAGTAGAGGATAGAGAGCTGAGACCCCAGAGAGTCGATAGTGCTCATGGGTTCTGGGGACGGTAAGGAACCGTAATCATAATCATAGGTTGTAGTTTCCATTTGTGTCTCAGGTGTTGACGTGAACATCTGCAAGAAACACAAATGCAGCCTTAAACATAATATTCACAGATGGTACAGTTAGCAAGGCTTTTAAATGATAAAATAATAACTTCTCTAGAAATGCTTTGAGGTGTACAAGGGAGTCAAATGCTGCAGGTGAGCTTCACCAAGGCATGCAAATAAGAAGTGCTAGAAAACATTGCCTGACTTACCGTGTTTGGCTTGTCTGACTCCGAAGGGCAGAGCTGTCTGACTCACAGTGAGTTCAAGTCACTTCATAATAAGTCAGCCAGTTAGGGGAAGGAAGTACCAAAGTAGTGTGTGTCAGTGTATGTGAAGGGGAGGGATTGGCTAAAGCACAGCTGTTTTACCAAAAGATCCAAGTCTCCTCCCTGGACTGTTCAGTTGGTACTCTAAAGCTGTGCTCACACAGAGTGCACATCACATGTTATTATGACAGTAAAGTCACATGTGTCTACTAACTGCAATGCCACAAAGAAAACAAAGTACTGCAGAAATCAAATACAAACTCATCACGTATGTTTAAAAGTTGCAATATCTTTCAGTATTGTGCTGTTCTCAAAATTGCATAATGATGTACTGCACACTACATGCTACTGCAAATTGCCTACGTTATACAGTATATAACTGTGAGCACCTCAGCTCACAAACAGTTCAAAAAGGGACGGAAGGAGAAGGATGGGGGGAAATATCAAAAGTTTATTGTCCACAAATGAAAAATGTAGAACTAAAAAAGAACAGGGAAGCCAGGCGGTGCTTTCTTAATCCCGTCCTGTGTCCAAGGTGTCCTCCCAGGACCCAGCCTACTGCAAGACAGACCAGGTTTCCAACATGCTTTTATTGAGTGACTGATTACCTGATTCTGATCAGCTGTCTGGTCTCCGGCCGAGCCACCCCCATCACTCCAGCAGCCGGCGCTCTAACCACACCCCGCTGCCACATACCCCCACCGCCCGACTCAGGCCGGGATCCCGCCGGCCGAAAGCTGACTCCCCCCCCTCCGCCAAGCGAGAGAGGAAATCAGCCACGACTATCCAGTTACCCGGCCTGTGGATCACCTTGAAGTTGAAAGGCTGTAACGCCAGATACCACCGAGTGATTCGGGCGTTGGCATTCTTCATGCGGTGGAGCCACTGCCGACAGGAAGTGTTACAAATTGGTACAAACCATACGGAGTGGAGAAGGCCGTCCATGCTTTAAGGAGGTTCAGGTGGTAAATCTGTGTTGCTCCCCCCCTGTCGGAACGCACCACCTAATCTACGTCCCCCAATCGCCGTAGGGCCCTTGCCACTTGGCGAGTAATTTCGAGCTAGAGGATGGGAGTAACACAAGCACTTTATTTCCCGGTGAAAATTGTCTCAGTCTCGACCCTCTGTTGTACAGGCGCTGCTGACGTTCCTGAGCCTGGAGCAAATTCCCACGTGGTAACTTCCCCAGTGAGTTTTGCTCGCAGGTCCATAACGTATTGGATTTCATTTTTACTTGTGCTCGGACCCTCTTTAACTAGGTCCAAAACACCCCGTGGCTTTCTGCCAAACAGCAGTTAAAAGGGAGAAAATCCCATGGAGGAATGGGACACCTCCCGCACTGCAAACAACAGAGGGTCTAACCATTTATCCCAATTCGGACTATCTTCGTGAACGAATTTACGAACCATGGTCTTTATCGTTTTGTTAAAGCGCTCCACCAGGCTGTCGGTCTGAGGATGGTCAACGCTAGTCCGGATTGAGTAGGCCCAAGAGTTCATACAGCTCGCGTAGTTGACATACTGTAAGCGATGTGCCCTTGATCTCTTTCGGGATCCCGACTCGGGAGATTATATGAAACAGTGCCTGTGCAACGCTCTTTGCAGAGATATCACGCAGCGGCACTGCCTCGGGATATCGGGCTGCATAATCCACTAGGACTAGTACAAAGCGATATCCCCATACACTCCGGTCTAATGGCCCGATGAAGTCCATACCAACTCTCTGAAAAGGCACCTCGATTAAAAAAATAAAAATAAAAATAAATCTTTTTATTTTTTTATTTATTTACATACAATCTTGAGTTTTTCAAAATGAAGAGGAATACATTTTTTTCCCACAGATGATGTCACTGATGATAAACCACCAACACATGCTTTTTCAGCAGAATATTAATCATTTATTGACAAAACCCATATTACACCCATGCATGTTGCAGTGTTTCCTGGGTATTTGGTTAGCTTGGTCAGCTTTTTCCCATGCAGGATGATTATAAGTTGTCATATCCTCTCCACATCTACATTATATGTTTCAGTACAGATCTTTTGTGTAATGGTAGTATATTACGTCACTTTTTCACTGGCTCACATCAAGGGTGTGGCCTTTGTTTCCTACACACAAATGTGGTTTAAAACCTTTAATCCCTTATAAGAAATGTTATAAACGCTTTATTCTTCCCTAAATAAATTATAATTGGATGCTCAGAGGAAACAATCACTTCATAGGGAGGCCTTAACATTTCTTGTTTTATCCACCCAACACTAGTTCTTGTTATTGGGATATCTTTGGCTTTTTTTCCTGGTATCTATATTTGACTGATATAAAGCAGAGTAAAACAGCAAATGGTTTCATTTGAATAGCTGAAACCAAAAGATGTTGATAAATAAAATGAGTAATCAGTTACAAAAATAGTTATATCTCTCACAGGCTCCGCCCTCTACTGGACTCTATGGGTACTACCTTATCCTGCGTGCATTCTCCCACTGAGACTTCTTTAGACGTAGCCGGCCTTGGGCGGGCCTACCTGAATGCGCGCGCATCACACTGTATAAAAGGAGGCCTCGCCTCCTGACTATCATCCTTTTTCTCTTCAGCAGCGGAAGTGATTCCACGAGCTTCGAGACGTTAGGAAAAAGAAAGTAAAAGTGAGAGCATGGAGTCAGTACTTGACCTCAGGACCTGCCCGAAATGCCCGAATCTTATCGCAGGGGCTGATCCGCACCCCTTCTGCTTCACGTGTTTGGGGCCTGACCACACGGGAGCATCGTGGACAGCACTCCCTGGCGAGGGCTACCCCGCAGGAGGAGTCGGAGGATCGGGAGCTCGACGTCGTGGACGTGGGCGATTCGGGGAGCGAGGAGACGTCGTTCCGGTTCTCTCTTCCATGGGACCAGGCGGGCTCGGTTCCGATGGAGGACGAGGAGGACGCCTCGCTGACCGGAGGTCCAACTCTCAGGTCTGCACGGATGTATTTCCTGGCGGTGATGACTCTGGCGGCGGAGCGTGTAGGCTTACCGCTCCCCCCACCGCTGCCACCGAGGCCTGTAAACCGCCTGAGATCGGTGTTTTACTGCCCGGTGCGTCCGGCGCAGCCAACATTCGTTTCGCCCCAGCTGCCAGAGGTATGGCTGTGTGTGGAGGCGACATGGCAGCAGCCATTAAAAACTAAGGCCCCGATAGCCGCCATGGCGGGTATCATTAAGGTGGTGGATCGCTCGGACACGACATGTCCAGGTGTGCCCCCCCTCGATGAGAGCCTGGCGGCCCATCTGCTTCCGCGGGCGGCTGGTTGGGCGGAGGGTAAACGTCCTCTGCCCCCGCTGCCCCGGGACTGAGATACCTTGGAATATCTGGATAAAATGTTCAAGCTCGGTACGCAGATGGCGGCTGCAGCCAATAATCTTGGCGTGTTGGGCGTCTCCCTGATCACCCCTCAGGCAGATGCCCCCGCCCTCCCGTCTCAGGACGAGAGCGATTATTCGGACCGCGCTGTCGGTCAGATGAATAATCTGATTAATGGCGTGGCCACCGCAGCAGGGCAGATGATTTCCCTGGCCACAGTGGCGTCTCGTCACGTGTGGCTAGGACTCACTGCCCTATCTAAGAAGGACCGTGAAGATCTCCTCGGAGCCCCCGTGTCCACGGAGGGGCTCTTTGGGTCGATCTCCTCGGTCACGGGGAAGGGCTGCCCGACCGAGGCAGGCTCCGCAACAGGGTGGGGAGCTCCATCTTCGCGGAGTTGTCTAGCGGGGGGAGGTAGCGCCTCGGTGGGGGGGAGATTCTCTCTACCGGGGACGCAAGGGCGAATCCCGCCTCCTCCCTATTTAATGCCCAGATCCCTGTCAAAACTTTTAAAAATAAAGATGGTGTTGATCTGTATCCAAGTCTGAGTGTCCTTTGTTTCCACAATACACTTGCACATGTTGATGACTGTACAAATTCCCCACTCGCCGCCCCAGCTATAGCTCCCGTTAGGGAGGAGGCTAGTGGGAGTGCGCAGATGAGAGTGATAAACCGCAGGCAGCACTGTTATAGTGCGGTGCGGGTACAGGGACATTATGGCCGACGTTTTTCTGTTAGAAAACACTCTATGCCTGAGGCTAAGACTCCAAATAATGCTGTTTACCATAGTGATAGGGGCTGCATTATAGCAACGCCCGCACTTGTAAAAAGGCGCGTGGCGGTGCGTTCAGGGGCCTTAGTAAAACACACTACGCCTGTAAAAGCTCCGGTTAATGCTGTTTTCCATAGTGATGAAAATAGCATTATTATGATGGAGCGTGCGCTCACACGTGAGCGTGCGGCGGTGCGTTCAGGGTCCTCAATAGATAATCGGCCCTTTCTGTTTCGACCCCCCACGGGCAAATCTTCCCTTTACGGGGAGTTTTGCGGCGGAGAGAGTATCACAGCTTTATAGCTGCGGCCCCACAGCTGAGGGCTTGCCCATTAACACAATGTTATGGGGAATGGAAACTCAGCTGTGTACTGACAAGATGGATGGACAGGACGCTGAAACGGGGTTATCTACTCCAGATTTGCAGCGTCCCACCTCCTTTTATGGGCATGCGAGAGGTAAATCTGTCTTCCCAGGAGGAGATGGTTTTCCTCTCAGCAGAGATTCAGGCTCTGGTGCAGAAACAGGCTGTATCTGTTGTGCATCCTCGGCACAGAGAGAAGGGTCTTTATTCCATGTATTTCCTGGTTCTCAAGAAAACAGGGGAATTCAAACCTATTCTAGATCTCCGCGGCCTGAATCGTCATATTTCCTGCAGGAAATTCCGCATGTTAACTGTGAAACAGTTACTAGGGCTTGTGCAGCCAGGCGATTGGTTCACCACCATCGACCTGAAAGACGTGTACTTTCATGTGGAAATTGCTCCAGAGCACAGAAAGTATCTGCGTTTTGCCTTCCAGGGAATAGCCTACGAATACAACAGGCTGCCGTTCGGTTATTCCCTATCCCCACGCACATTCAGCAAATGTGTGGCCACAGAGCTTCAACCG